ATCCGTTCTTGGTCATCTTCAGGTACGGCTATCGGCGTCGGTATGAGTTCGGTGTGGCCTAGTCGGGCGGTCTCGCTATTGGAGGGCTGAAGACGTCCGGCGTCAAGCAAGGCGGTCGTGCCTCTGCCTGCTTATCGTGTCGCATACGGCGGTTTGCTTTGCATGAAGTTCAAGCCAGAAAGACCGTGGCCATTTGCCTTGTTTGTGTCAACTGAACCCCGATGGACTTGCTTTTGTGGATGTGCATGTGGAAGACTCAGCCTTCCCTTCCTTCTCGCTCCCACATACCGATGCTGAGCGCTACCATAGTCTGCTTCGCCTCGCTTCTGCTGTCGGAACGACAAGTCTGTACCATCTAACCGGGATCGACGTTGTCTACAGCGAGAAACAAACTTTGCATTAGTACACGCTTGAATGAGTGCAACGCGGGCATGGGAGTCTGAATAGCAGGACGACATGTGGAGGGGTTACCATCCACCGATCCGCCACGGCGGGTAGTCCAAGTAGGTAACATGAGCCCTCCGTTGCCTCTTGTCTCTCAATGTCTCTACCAAGCAATGATTGCTCGATTTGCTTGCCAGCCTGGCTCATCGGCTCCCGTGTTGGCGGGTTCCCAGCTGCAGGTGGCCCAGTCGGGAAGGCAAAAGACTCCGCCGACTCAGGCCATTGGGGACGGCGCGAACAACACTCGTCAAGCAAACATCGACCCACCCAAAGAAGATGCGGTTCAAAACATGTCATTCGAATCCTGACCCCCTTGCGGCAGAACGGAGATCCGAATTGGTTATTTGCCCCTCCCAAGAGTCTGGAGTTGTGCTTGGTGGGGCACGAGGTGTCTTCCGTTATGCTTTCCGCTCAAGTTTTCCAATTTCGATGCTTGCACGCCCCTCAAGATACCGCCTGCCAACAGTTGCTCCTTCTTTCCATACCTGGCCCTTGACTACTCCTTCCACCTTTCTACCTGTCCGTACCTTACGGTAGTTGAGAGTACCTGCTTCCCGTAGCCTGTCCTCTCGTAATTGCAACAAAGTCTAACATAAACGCGTATTTTCGTCAGGGACTCCCTTCGTCATGCCATCCACCATCTTCACTCGAACGGTAAGAGAGGCAGGCACCGTAAGTACCTGCCTAAGCATCCTGTCGAATATGCCTGCCGTTGCATCAGATGTAACATGTTCACCGAGTCGCACTTTCCTTTTGTCGTGTCCCATTTGGTGCTCTTTTCGAACGCAGACCACTCGGCACACCCAACTCAACCCTTGCCCTGGCAACCTTGTCCTTTCCAACTCTCGCTCTCCCATCTAGACCACGCGGTCTGAGAGCGTCCAGCGTCCTGCAACAGTGCTTGACCTTTGGACCCGCCGCTTTGTTGACGGCGCTCTCTCAACGTGGCTCCAACGGCAGACTGGGGATACCATCCTTTTGCCTGATGCAGTTTCAACAACCCTGGAGCGAAGCACCTGGTGGGAATGCCGATCTCTGCGCCCTACTAAATATGGCGACGATGGCGGTACCCCTGGTCGGCACGGCTTTGAATCGTCAAATGCAAGCCGGCCTCAGTCGTGTGAAGTCTCCGTTGACTGCGCCGCAATCCTCGGCAGAGCTCGCTGTCGCTTGCTGGTCGAAACCAGTCGATTGCGCCTTTTCAACCATGTCCTGGCACGCGCCCTGGCACTCGATAAGTCTGACAGGCTGTGCCACAGTTTCGGACAAGCTGACTGTGGACATGCAGCACAGCCTGGTTTCTTCTGCAAACGCCATCACAATTGACATGTTCTGTGCTGAACCTGTCACTATTCTCATGGTTTGGCCGAAGAGCAACAAGGGTCACGCCAAATTGTGACGACGTCGCAGAGTTGGACCCTGTTGACCCATGAAGAAGCTATCATGTCTCAGAAACATTATTTCGGTACCATCGACACGCAGGCGGGCCAGGCCGTGGGGTTGTCATCTTGTACGCGTGATGGACAGCGATCCACCAGAACGATGGTGTTCCAACAGATAGACCCCAGCCTCGCGCAAACTATTTCAGTTCTCCCAGCACGGATCGTTGCACTCCATCACGACCTCCGCGGCATTTAGACTTCAATTGGCATTTACAACAGCGCTTCAAGAGGGCGGTGCTTTACTGGATCCGAGCGTTGCTTCGTTGTCACGACATATCACGCTCCACGGAGGTATGGCTTTAGCACTCCTGATCAAGCAAACCCGGTTGCTTGCGTGACCAGGATATCATCCACGGAGTGTTCCGTCCCTCTTGATCGCTCGCTTTTGATTGGGTGTGCTTTCATGCTTGCACGCTTATTCGGCCTTCCTCCCCGTTGGCATCCTTAGCACACGGGGTTGGGTGTGGATGAAACCTGATACATCACATTCGGCATCAGGTATCGAAGCCAAAGCCAGGGATTTTGTCCAAATCAATGACGACCATATAGTCGCAAGCATCAGCCTCGGCTTTGTTTGGTGTGGTCTGGGCTTGAATTTGGGCAAATCTCCTGCCCGCCAGAGTTCCCCTCGCCTTGGCACTTTCTTGGTGTTGTTGCGTAACGATGCGGCTAGAATGTCGAGCTGCCAAGATCTTGCCTTGGTATCCCGACCTCAAGTGATTGACAAGATCTTGCCGGTAGGGATCTTTTTCGTCTGCGTCGGTTTTAGGGTTCCTCCCGCGAGATCCGCGCTTGTCCTCCTGCCACTGATGCAATTGCCGAAAAGGGAGGTTACACCGAGGCTCTCTTAGGTGAGGGTGTGGTCATATCAGCGCCATTTCCAACCTCAGCTCTGGAACACATTTCCACACTGCCTCACTTGCTCGCCCAGATCGCGAACCACTCTGTCGGTACCACGCTTGCGCCTTATCAGCCATGCCAACCACGGCGGGCAAGCACGTGGAGCTCTCCGTACCCTCAGTAAGAGCTACGACAGATCAACACCTGGGGCTTTGTGCACTGCTACACTCCTGCGACTCATGCTGATCCATGCTGTTCCAGTGTCATTCGTCAATCCCGCGTTACCCACGTGTTGGTGCAACACTGGAGCCTCCCCGCCCCGTTGGAAATGTTACACCAAAGGCAAGCTGTTTGGCAAGCGCCTGCCAAATCATCACTCACGTAATTACAAGCTAGAGATGACTGGTCGATTCGGGCTGTCGGCACCTGCACTCCGGTCCACCATGACCGCGAAGCCTCATTGTTGATGAGCCGTCACAATTGCAGTACCATTGGCTGAAGCCCTGACACACTCCCAGACCGAGCCGCCCGGTCCCATCAATGTCATCAAGCGTTCCAGGCGTAAGAAGGTAGGCAGACGGGCCTTCTGGCTCACCGGCGTGGGGTACTCATGGGTTGCCACTGATCACATATCACATCCGGCGCATCAGTCCTGTTCTGCTCTGTCTCAAACAAACGAGCTATCTTGGCACTAACAGAGATGCAGGAAAAGAAACAGACTGACTAGCTACCCCCGGTGCTAAGACAGCTCCTTTGCCTTGGTCCACGCCCCACGATGCCCGTTGAACAGGCGTGTCTCCTACAATGCTGAGCGGGCATGGTCGTAGGGCATCTTCGTCAAGACCACCACCACTCTGCACCGGGCGAGTATCGTCACCATCACGCAGGAAAAAAAAAGCTTGCGTCATCAATACGACACCATGACGGTGCTATAGAACCAGGATTCGAGCCCTACAAGTCCAGCTTGTAGTGAACAAAGTTCAAGGGTTCCGCCAAGCCCGAAGTGAAGCCACAGAACACACGTCACCCAGCTTGAGTTTGGTCGATGAGGTGGGCGGCCGCTTGAGTGGCGCATAAACAATCTTCCTATCTTTAAATCACTTGATCTCATTCGGCCGCCTCAAGGCTCACGGGCTAAGGGATACCGTCAAGCAAACGTGGACTGGGTTCTCGATTCCAGGCCTCAACATCTTGTTCAGCTGTGTTTGCCCGACTCTACAGGACAGATACCGGCCATTTTGTAAACATATGTAAGGTCCAGGGCCAGCTTCTTGGCCAAAATCTTCACTCAAGCAAACGGAACAGGGGTTTTAATTTGTTTGTTATTTTCGCGCACATACAGACACACCTCCAGACCAACAAAAATCAATAACCTGAACGCCATGCTTGGTCAAAGCCAACTAACAATCCACGTTGCCCTCCATGCCTTTGGAGAGGGAATGAAAGAAGAAAAGATGAGAGAAAACCCAACAAAAGAAGCTCCTTATAGATCTCCGATCCTATCAGATACCCCAGGGTCCCATGGCATGGTCATCTGAATACCTTGCTTATTCGAACGAGCAGCTTGCCGTCCTTAATCGGTCGACACTTGGTGTCCATCAGCCTGACATAGCGATAGCCGGGCCGCAGACGGTCGAGACGGATACAAGCCCACGACAGCAGCTCGTCGCGGCCCATTCGTGAAACATCTTCGATTTTAAACCTGGAACAAGTAATTGGCGGTCAGCAAAGGGGTCATTCGCGCGGCAGGCAATTAGCCTTCTCTTTTTTCTTTCTGGTGCATGTCGCAATCCCTCCCTCCCTGTGTTTCCCCAGGCCGTATGTAAGTGGCAAGCCCGCGGCAGCCTGACAGCTGCATGTCCAACACGGGCCGTGGCAGTAGGCCGTCATTTGAGGGTCCGGCATGGATGTATTGTTTGTGGCGCGGGACACCCGCCGCACCCGCTCATTTCGGTACCTTGAAAAAAAAGTCTTCGTTTCGCCTGCTTCCAAGGCTGCAAGCCGTCCTTCTGTTGCACCAGCCAGGGCGTACGCACGGGAGATCCGAACCACTTGGCCGATCAATTCCCTCCTGGAAGCTGCGGTTGCTAACAAACGGTTGACACGGAAATTCTTGAAGAGAGGCCACTTGCCAATCTGCCATTTGCGAGTGCCAGCGTTTGCCGCAGCGGATGCTGCTTGTTGCTGCGCTGACAAAATCACTCGAATGCCAGCGCAGCGCACGCCATGTAGTTTAGGGAGAAAGGAGGAAGAAAAGGAAGACGGGCTGGGATCTTACCTCACAAAACTGAGCTCCTCCACCACCCTGGGAACAAGCGGAAACTTGAGGAGCTCGCCTTTGTCGCCCCAATCAGGATGACTCGTCTTCATCGGCGCCGTCTCCAGCTTGTACTTGCCATCATACGACGTGCCGCCGCTCCCGCCTGTCACGCGATTGCCGCTCCCCGGCCGCTCCACGTGGAGTTCGCACTTGACCAGGGGCCGGAGGTTCCTGCCACTCCAGCCGCTGTCGCTTTCTGTAGACTCCGGCGCCCAGATGTGCTGGCCGGCGAGGATCGAGATGGAGAGCATCAACGTGCCGGCGTGCGGGGCGTCTGCCTGCGCGAAGCACGTCTTGTCCGCGGTCCGGTAGCCCGGCGGCTTGAGCACCCAGCCCTGCTCGCCGGCAAACATGCCCTCGTTGAGCATCATGCCCTCGTCCAGGTACTGCCAGTTGAGGGCGACCATCTGGACGCCCTTGCGCCAGAAGAGACTCGAGTCCGGGTTGGAGCTGTCGAAGCGGGCGCCGTTGGGGAAGGCGCGCATAAAGTAGTTCTTGTTGTGCGTGAAGACGGCGCTCTGCATGGTCGCGTACAGCTCGAGGATCCTGCTCTCGGCGATGGAGTAGATGTGGCTCGGCTTCTTCGAGACCGTCTCGAAGCCCTTGAAGTGCTCGCTGTGCGTGTAGATGGCGAGATCGCCCAGCGCCGCGCACACGGGCACCTTGGCCGCCTTGGGCGGCGCGCCGGTCGTGGGCGGAGGGCTCTTGGGCGCGGCGCCCGAAGGGTGGTGGTGGTGCTGTTGGCTTGCGTTCTCTTCGTCAGACGCCGATGTGTCGTCCTCCTGCGTCCGGCTCTTGGTCAATCGCGCCGGGCCGAGCGGCACCTCGATCTTCTTGGGCGGCTTCTTGCACTTGATGAGGATCTTGCCCCGCAGCTCCTCGAGGCTCGGCACGCGGAACCTCTGGTCAAGGCCGTCCATGGCCCTGTCGATCAGCATAGCACCCCATTCCTCCTTCATGATGGCGACCATGAGCTCCTGCTGCTGGTGGTCGGCGTGCACCTCGAGGCTGATGATGATGGGCAAGTCGTTGGTCACGAAAGCCGACTCGCGAATGGCGACGCAGACCTCGCGGAAGCCGCATGGCGTCGTCAGGGTCCAGCCGTGGGTCACAATGGGCTCGTTCTTGGGGTACGGCAAGCGCGGGCTCGGCGGGCACGGCGGCACCGCGACGGCACCGCCGTCGAGCTTGTCGCCGGAGACTCTCGGGTCCGACAGAAGACCGCTGTCGCGCAGTCCCAACCCCGCGCTGCTCTGGGCGCTCAGGCTCCGGCTGTGCGTTGAGGCGCGATCGCCCGCCCCCCCTCCACCGCCGAGAACGCCGCCCACCGTCTCCTTCAGACTGGCGGCGACAGACTGGCGGCGACGTTGGCGAAGGAGGCACCCGAGAGGTTGCGGCTGTGATCGGGCCGCGGGCTCTTGGATCGAGTCGTCTCCGACGCGGCGGCCACGGTGTCGCCGTTCCAGACGTCAATCTCGATGCAGCGGCAGCCGCGGGACAGGACCTCCCTGTAGGCCTCGGGCGAGCTCTTGGAGGCCAGCTGGTTGCCCTCGAGGTACGTGTTGTGGCTGCTGCTGATGAAGTAGTTTGTGATGGGCCGGCTGGTGTCCTTGTCGGGACAGGCCGGGCGCTCGGCGTCCCAGTCGAAGCGCATGAGCCAGGCTTCGAGGAACTCGCCCTGGGTGTAGCGATCCTTGTCCTCGGGCAGGTGTTTTTCCACGTCGGCGGGACTCTCGCCCTGCATGCTCTCGAGCCAGGCGACAAACTGGTCACGCGATATGGTCGTCTCGCGGCGGATCATGGAGCGGCGCTTGAGGAGGTCGTCGAAGGTGCGGCGCAGCTTGTCCATGCAGGCATTGTTGATGTCAATGTTGCGGGGGTCGTTGGTGTAGAAGCTCGGGATGTCGGTGCGGGCGAGGATGGGCGAGATGACGTCGTCGAGGAGATCGGGGTGGTGGTCGAGGCCGTTGACGTTGATGCGCGGCAGGCTCCTCGTGGTGGCCGTCGTTCGCGGGGTCGTCGTCGTGGCCGTCGAGGATGTCGTGTCGAGCCAGGCGCCCTTGGTCGGGGTGAGAATGGTGGAGAGGTTGACCATGTTGCGCAGGGTCGGCAGGCTGTCCTTGTTGGTGCGGGAGAAGATGGGCATGGTGACGGTACGACCGAGGGAGCGCTTCGCCTTGTCATTGTCGCGCGGACGGCGACGGGGCTGGCTGTCTGGTAAGCGGTGGTGAGACTCGTGTGGGAACTGGCGGCACGACGTACGAAGATGAAGCACATGGCTGGGGGGGGGGTCGGAAGAGTGACCCTCAAGGGAGCAACTCAGGAAGGGGACACCAGAGAAACGCGCTGCAAGGCGTCAAGTTGATGAGCAGCTAGCCCATTGAGTCGAGGCGAGAGACGTCAGGACATGGAGGGAGGGCGAGCAAGGCGAGGAGTTCGCGGTTGGAACCGTGGATGCTGTTCGATGGCTCGAGGTTGAGCAGGCGAGCGATAGGCTATGTGTACTTTGGCGTCACTCACGGCACGATGCGATTCCTGGAACAAGAGGATGATAGTACGACGCAAGTTCTGGAGACCAAGGAAAAATGGAAGAGGAAATGAAAATCAAATGAATGTCAGCAGCCAGCTGAAGTGCATGGCAGAAGCGGAGGATAGCCAGCCAGGAGGGATACGCAGCCTTGTCTGTGTCTGTGTCTGGGTCCAGGTCCAGGTCCAGGGAGGGCAGGTCTTGGGTCGCCCCACGCCGCTGCCATGCACAGGCACTGGGGCCTAGCTGACGGGTCCCGTCAGCGCCGCGGCGGCCAGGGCCGGGCCTCTAGCGGATCTTTCACCAATCGATAGCCCACGATAGGGACGCCGTAGGGCGACGGGGGGCGAAGCACTGCCCCTTGCCCCTCTTGCCCCTCCAACTGCCCCCTAACCCCCTAACCATCCAGAAGCCGCCCTGCTCGCTACCATGCCTCGCGTGCGTGATCCTGCTGGATGATGTGCCTTTATTTTGGGACACCTTTCCGGGGAGTCGGTTGCGACGGCGTCTTGGAATGAGATGAAGGGGAGTTTGACCATTTTCCCAGTCTGACTATCTGTCGAGCCTGGGGAAAGGAGAAGAGGATGGTCAAGGTACCTACCTACCTATGTAAGGTAGAGAGGTACCTGTCCAGCCAAGTAGGTAAGCTGACATCGTGTGCGCCAGGGTTGGTGCTTCCCACACGGAGCACAGGCTCAAGATTGGGGGCCAATACCCCAGGGCGTCCCCGTTCAATCCGTGCTAGGTGGTGCTCGAGTCGCCTAATCCGCACACCGAACCCGCTTGACATTTATTTTGTCGGCAAGAAATCGAGTGACCAGCTGAAAGCTGTTGGGTTTCTGCGGCCATGTCAAATACAGGCAGATTGATTGGTGCATGCCTCAAGTTTGAACCGGGTTGTTCTCATTACCGTGACTAGAAAAAGCCTACGCTTGCTGGCTAACTCCCCACATGAGATGCTTTGTCCAACATCTCTTGGCCGATGCCACGACGCCGCCCGTGGCCCCGGCTTCTGGCTGATGATGTCAGCAGGCCCAGGCCTGGGCAAAGCTGCGAGTGCTGCGAGCTCTACTGGGGCATACCGGCCGGTCATGAGTTTTGCCTGCAGTCGCAAGCTCATGTGTTCATGTTCTTGACATGACTTGACGAATCGCGTCGCGACGACACAAGTCCACCAACCTCTTACACCCACCTGACCGATCTTTCAGTGCACAAAGGTCACCTTGGAGATACACGAAAGTTAAATCGCGTACTGACTGCACTGGCGGCGCAAGTACCTGACGTAATCATCTGGTCCTGCACCCCGAGACTCATCATCAACCGCCATGGCGCACCCAGCGAAGAATGTGAGCCCCGAGGCAGAGGTCAAGTCGTGGGGTTTCAAGCAGGTCTTCACCTGGACAGACGCCCCGTAAGTCGCTCCTTGCCGTGACGCCGGCGCAGCAGCAGCAGCAGCAAGGCAGTCTTCGCTGACACCGAAGGAGGGGCACCCACTACCCCCCGCACAGCCACCGGGCTTTGACGACGCACCTCATCACGAAAGGCAGCCTCACCATAACCTATCCCGAGGACGAGAGCCCGGCCAAGGAAACGCACGCCGTGGGCGAGCGTGTAGACGTGGCAGCAGGGCGACAGCACGAGGTCTGGGTCGGCACGCAGGGTTGCACCATGGTCATCGGGGAATAGAGAATAGAGAATAAAGAACCCAGCTAGCTGGCAGCTGAAGCGGCGGCCAGTGTTCATACAAGTCAAACAACGGCTTCTGGATAAACTTCGTTGTCATGCACACTTCTTGACACTTCAAGCAACAGGTAGCAGGAATGGACCAAGGTGGAACACTTGCGACCGCCATGACGTAGATCCACGGTACTCGTTCGTGACGAGTTCCCACAATGATGGAAACGACGCAGAGGTGCATTACAGATGATCCCTGGAGAGAGTCCAGTCGCCCAAAAAGGTCCGCCGAACCCGAAACAGCCACTGCTTGTGCACAGCAACCGGGTGGCCGGTGCTCGTCAGAAGATAGAAGATGAAGCTTCAGGGGCCGTCAATTCCTTTGTCCAAGATCGCCCCCGCGTTAAAATCCAGGAAAAAAAAAAGTGTCCATCATCAGGGTCTGACGGCCGTCTGACAAGTTGCGACTGGCCATCGGGCGGCGGCAACGGCGAGTCAAGTACACGAACGCGACCTTGCTAGAGCGGGCGATTCGCGAAAACAGGGGGTTCCCTCTTCATGCGGAAGCTGGCCGGCATGGTTCGTTCGGAGCATTGAGAAGAGGTTTGATCTGCAGCCGTGTTCGCGCCAGGCTAGCATCGACGCCAGCCCGCAAACGGCCTTTTTCATCTTTGCTCGTTGCATGGTAGATTACGACGATCGATAGTTGTTCCTCTAGTGACGACGTGCGTGTTCATTCGGGCCCTCGGTTGCCGCAGCAGAGCGAGCTCGAGGGCGTGCGCATGTCGTGATTAATCTCGATGATGGCCGTCTGCTAGACAAACAGGACGAGATGGGAAATTGCCTGTTGCGCCTGGGACAAGAAGTCCCAAAGGAGCAGAATTGGTCCGACCGCGTCTTCTCCTAGACCAGGGGTTGTCGTTGATGGTTTCGGGCACCAGGGTGAGGGGGTGAATCCGGCGTCGGTCGCTGTGTTTCTTTCTCTCTTTGTCGCCAGTGCCGAAATGGCTGTGCATGTTCAATGCTCAGCCCGGTCAGGGACTGGTGTCGAGGCTTTGGACCGATTGGGCCCTCGTCAGCATGACGGGTCGTGGCGTGTTGATTGAATGCGTACCAGAGGGGGCGGCCTCTGCTTGTCGATTGGCGGGGCGGCGACGACAATCTGAAACGAGGGGAACACAACTGGCAACGACAGACCGGCCGAGTCATTTCAGCGAGACCAAGTTATTCGATGGGAATAGCCATCGTGGCCTCCCCTCCCCCATCGGAGCGAGCTGAGCCAACCTGATGGCTAGCTGGCTGGGTCTGACTGTGCGCGATTGACAGGTGCCGAAGGCGGCGGCGCTACCTGGAGCCAGTAGTCCGCCAACTAGCTCCCCTGGAAACGGTCATAGTCGCAGCCCGTGACAGGGAAGCATCTTGCAGAAGGGGAGATGAATCAAATCGGCCGAGGGAGAGAAGAGAGACCGGAGCATGCATGCGCATGAGCCAGTAGAACACAATGCCGACAGGTGCAGGTAAAAGCCTACGTAAGATGGGGAGTTTGAAGCTGCTGCTGCTGATGATGATGAGTACATGATGGGTACCTGGAGCAGGAGTTGCCATGTCATAGCCAGACAGTCAGGCTGACTCCGTAGCGGCCAAGTCCAGCAAGGCACGGCACCTCGCCCGTGGGCCATGGCACTCAGCGTAGAGGTGCACAGCGGACCGGCGTCAGGGTGGGCAGGGGCCACGCAAACGTGGTGCGGCTTACTCCACGTCTGCTGCGATGTAGAGGGTACAAGCGAGGGGGGGTCCGCCACGCCAGGAACCACATACGGCATCCTCGTCCATCGCACTGTCGCTTCTGTGACATCGCAATTTCATAGCCTGGAATCCGCATCACGAGTCCTCCATCATTTCGCCTGCCATTTGCTCCATTTCCCATATCCACACTAGTGGCACGATGCGAAGCAACGCCAGCTCACCTCGACGCCCATCTGGACGGATGTCTGTGACGATTCTCCGACAGCCTAGTTTCTCCTCTGGCATTGGGAATACTCGTCTCAGCAGTGAACATGTCTCTCTCTCTCTCTCTCTCTCTCTCTCTCTCTCTCCATACTGACCTACCCACCTAGGCAGATGCATCGAGGCTCTCAATGCAGGCAAACTTATACCTACATGTACCTTACCTTGACCAGGCATACTGGGCGGGCAGCAAGGATTCATTCGATCCGACACGCCGTGGAACTGACAGACATGTGTGTCTGTTTGATGTGCCGCCAGGTTAGCGAGCGAGCGTGCGTCTTGGTTGTCTTGGAAGTAATATGACGACCCTGTCATGGCCAGTGGTGGCTCGGAAACGCCATTGAAGCCAATTGTGCGAGAAAGTACTGGGTACCTTCGGCACCCACATCCCCCCCACCGGATCTACTCATCTCAAACCAACCTAGCAGCTACTGGGCTTGAGGTTCTCCTGCTCCAACCATGCCTACCTAGCTTGCGTAGGTAGGTACAACCTTAGGTAGGTAGCTACCTAGGTACCTAGGTAGGTAGGTAGCTAGCTAGCTACCTAGCCAAGGTACCCTACCAGGTAGGCCTCAGCTAAGGTTGCTAGCTTGGTAGGCGCCTCAATTCGATGTACCAACTTCCGTCTGGTCTGCAACCTCCTGGTTTCCAAGTTTCTTGATGTACGAGTCGAAATCGGCATCGCCCTTTTCGATCCGTCCCAACTTTCTCCTCTGCTCCATGTGCCTCTAGTCGACTCAACCTCCCTCTCCCCTCTCCCCTCTCCCCCCCTCCTCCCCCTCTACTCCCTCCTCGCTTTCCCCTCGAACCTTTCCGCTTCGCCCTCTGTTCCCTTGTCTTGAATCGTGCATTCTGAAGCTTGGTGGTCCTCGATACGTGAACGCGCCGTCCCTCTTCTCTCTACAAAACCACAGGAAGCCCCCCTCCTCTCCCCTCCCCTTCAACGCTTGCTTCACTCTTGCTCTGCTTCTAGCTCTGCAACCTCATCACCGCCTTTATATGACTGTCACCCTCCTATATCGTCCAGGACCGAGCATCCTCTCACTGGTATGCCCGACACTGACCGCCACCTGAGAACCACGAACGCGAGTCGCCAGTTCCAGGCACAGCAATCACCCGGCATGGATGTTTCAAATCGCCTTGCGCTACGTCCTTAAACACTGGCCCTCCTCCTACCCGCCGGCCGCCTTTCTTCTGACGCCGAAGCTCTGTGGGCGCCCTCAACGTCATTGTCTCCGGGCCCCGTATCTGAGCCTGGCTGCCACACTATTCGACTAGCTATCTCATTGCTGGCTTCGTGCGTTGACGGGGACTAAAGACAACGCCAACCAGACTATACGGCGAGTGTAAAAACCGAAGTGAGAGCTTGGCCGGTTCTCTCCTCTCCAGCACGTCACTATTCGCCATGGGAAACGCACCGTCTGTCGAGACGTTGCATTCTCAACCAAATATTCACACAGCGCAGGGTAACATATATTCGCCGCCGCCAGCCAAAAGGCAACCTCAGAAGCTTTCGAAGCCGCGCGTCGGCAACCATGCATCTTCCAATACAGCATCCCGCCGTCGGGACTCGAACGCTCCGTCGATTGCTTCCAGCGTCTCACCGCTTCCGCCAAATCCCAGCCCCAATCCCAACCAAAACTTGAGCGTGAACACGCGCCGATCCTCTGCATTGCCATCGCCAGTAATGCTTTCCCCGGCGCCATCGATCTTTCCCAATGTTCCCACTGCGTCTTCAATCCGGCCGGAGACAACTTCGGATCCCACCGGCGGCTCCAAAGATTGGTATCGACGCTCTTCGGGGCTATTCCGGTCTAAAAGTTCCCAAGAGGACAGGACGAATAGGAGGAGAAGCGGCCTGGTGCCACCCATGCCTGGCGAGAGGCCGTCCAGAGCCAATTCCATGAACTGGGAATCTCAAGCAAATTTGGACCACGCCAGGCAACAATTGGAGAGGTAAGCGGCGCATGGAGTAACCTACCAACAGCATTTGCAGTGGCTAATTCGGGGTGTCACAGCGGGAATGTCGCTGGTAACCGCCAGTCGGTCAACTACGACATGTCTTCTTACGAGTCGAGGCGATTGCTCAACATGACGGACCAGCCTCTGGTCCAGGAGCCCGAATCAGTTACGGTTGAACCCCAGCTGGGTGAAATTGATCAAGCCACGTGGAAGAGCTCACATCCTCACGAGGTGCCAGCTGTTTCCATACCGAGAGTGGATTCTAACGTGTCCCTTTATGCACCTGCTCGTCGTCGCTCAGTGATCCAGACGCCTGGTGTGGCGACGCGGAAGCCCGGGGATAGCTCTGTGTCACGAAAATCGAGCTTCCGCCACAGCCACCCGCCGACCCCCGTAGGTGGTCGCTCCAGGCGCGGTTCATACGTGGCAGAAGCCGAGGTCGTACGGGTGATATCGATGCCACCGCCGAGGGTCATTGCCGTTGATGAGGTGGAAAGAGTCGAGACTCCGTCAGAGCTCGATTACAGGCAGCTGGGCGCCATGAAGCACGGTTCCCTGCGAATTACCAACGGCGCCGCCAGCCCCGTCCCCAGTGTCGAAGGCGACCTTCCGCACGACAAGGCATTTGGTAGGGCCCCGGAATGCGAGATACCCATGACGGGGCAAACTCCCAAGCAGACACTTGCTCCTATCACTACCACGTTTATCAATCACAAGGCTGTTTCCTCCGTCCCTCAAAGCACCTTTGTCGGTTACCATGAGCCTGGAGATACCTCGGCTCACTGTCTTTCGCCCGAGTACGCCCCCTACGAGGTTCTCGACGTAAGAGAAGATCCCAGTGCAAAGCCGGCTATTGAACGACCCGTGGCAAGGCAAGATGTTGCACAAGGCGTCGTGCGAATCGACAGCGGGCTCGTCGTCACACCCATGTCAGAGGCGCCTGCAGACGTCCTCAGGCCTTTAGCAAAAGCCGATTCTGGATATAGCTCAAACGTCTCGTTGCGTTCGTTCAGCTCCAAGAAGGCTGTTGGAGGGAATGAACGTCCCAGTCGCGCCAGAACAGATGGGAAGGCCAAGACATCGAACGATGCCATGGATACAAGTCCTAACGACCTCAATGAAATGGGCTCGACACAGTCCTGCATGTCAGATCACCAAGTTGAGAGAAACACTGCGCTATCACCTCGAGGTTGTTCGCCGACAGACGTTGCTTCTCCGAAGCAGGTTCTCCCGCCTGGGAGTCCTCTCCAATCAGCGTCCGACGACCTGCACTCTCCGTCCCCCTCGAGCAAGATGCGCAAAAGGCTGCACGCTTCCTCGTCCTACATCTTCGGCCGAACGCCTGAGAAACCAGAAAGTGCGCCGGCTAGCTCTGCAACCATGGATCCCGTAGAGGAAAGGCCCAGCTCGACGCTGAGTATTGGTGGCAACAGCAGCAACAGAAACAAGCTTCAAAGGCTGCTTAGTGGCGCAAGTATGCGCGGCCCGCCTGCAGTTCACCCAACCCATTCTGTCGAATCGTCTATTCCATCAATACCTCGGGAGGTTGAGGCAAAACTTATGGAACACACGGGAAAGTATCCGATGATGTCCAAGCAACTTACTGTACATCATCAACCAAGCAAAGACACCCTGAAGACAATATTGAGTGTCGGTAGCGTGGAAGCCAGTGGTATAAACAACATTCGGGACTCGTTGACTTCACCAGAAGCAACCTTGGCTCCTGTCGCTGAGACGTCCAAAGGTGCACGTCGACGGAGTCTGCAGCCCATTTCGGCGTCAATCTCTCAGGCAGCAGCAGCGATCATGTCGCGCAAGAGCATCCGGCGAAAGCCCATTTCGACGCACAAACAACAGAGCGACCAGTCTCAGGAGAATGAACTCATCCAGAACGGGTTCGAATCGAGCGTCACGAGCATTGACTCTAACCGCGATAGCGTTGGCCGAAGTGCCTTCGATCAAGCCTTCACGGCCCTTGCCGCGGACGACCACCAGCACACCGACACGAGGAGGTCCATGACTATGACGGCGCAGCAGGAACGAGATCTGGGTTACTACCGTCCACCGCCCATCAGAACAAAATCGTCTGCTAGTAGGCAGCCTTGGCCATCATGCAGGTCGCCAATCCCGGAGCTACCCGAAACGTCTCCGCCTCGACAAAAGACAAAGTCAATGCCTCCTGTTAGTCTTAGAACACGCAGAAAGTCGGCTGGAGCCAGTACACAATCGATGTCGCGCAAAAGTAGCCGCGATAGCCTTCAGGGCCCTCTTCTCTCCGCACCACCAGTGCCGTCCATCAAACCTGAATTCCAGCACCCCCAGCATGCCGCTTTTTCTTCGGTACGGGCCGGCCATCTCGACTCTGCGAACCGCGGTACCTCGTCTGCCGCAAACCATGGTATCTATCGCCCTATGAGCGCCACCATCGGAGCTCAGCAGGTACGCAGTCCAGGCCTACGACACCGGTCCAGCTATGACGGTCACAGCAGTCTCCAGCGGCATGCTGGCTTCGGACAGGGCCGGTATCAGACTAGTACGCAAATGCAGATGCAGACTGGGGAATACTACCAGAACCAACTCTTGCAGCTTCAGGAGCAGTCATGGCGCGGGGAGGAACAAAACTTGGTTCGCTCAGGGCCTGCTGACCCTCGACTCGGCCACTCGAGAAACCAGAGTGGCGGTACGAACCCACCCTATCGCATACTACACAGCTATAACTCGCCGGCATACCGAAACGTCCAGCTCTGGAGCTGAGCACCGGGCACACAACTCATTCGAATCTACAAACCGTCCGCGCTCTGACTTTCCTTCTCTGTATCATGGCATGGTGCATCACAAGGGAATGCCATCATGTGCATCGGCAGGCCCCTTTCCACACAATCACGATCCTTCAACATTGAAACCCATTTCCTTCACAAAGAACGGCACACACGGCACCTGGTGCACGTCGACCGATGCGACTTGCATACACCAGACCTTCCCCGCGGATACACACGCTTTTCCTATTTCTTGTCTCTTTTGCACAATACAGACTCCACGTACACAACTGGATGGACCTTCTAACGAATACCGGGTCCGGGAGCCCGAAAGCGGCAAGAGATCTTGATGACACTAGGCAGTGGTTGATACGCATACGCATTTTATACCTTGGGGCGGGCCGGTTTTGGTCTGGAAGACCAATTGATGGATTTTGCATTTCTTGTTCGATTTTTAACTTGATATACCCCTGAAATTGACCAAGTTTTCATCATCGTTTCTCAAAAGCTGAATGTAGCGCATGGCCACATTGCTGCCTTGGTGACACTATCGAGTCTATGAAGCCCTGAAGCAGTCATGTTCAAGTACCTTGTACAAAAGTTCACGCGCATGTCATCGAAGTAGGGCCATCAATTCGTTCTCCAACATGTCGATATCTATTCGTCACCTCTGTCCCAGTTGAATCCTCGCCCCGATATTCGTAGAATCTACCAGCTGCCTCCAACCGCACATGCCCAGACACAAAAAAACAAGAATACGGAGGCACAAAAGCCCCCATGACAGGAACCACCACGCAAGACCCCAAGCGCGGGCCTACACGCCGTCCGAGGTAGAGCTAACCTCGCTCTTGCCCCAAGGGCGGAGTCCGCGCGGGGCCGCGCCGGCGGGCCGCGCCCCCTTCTTCTCCCTGGCGCCGCGGCGGCCGCAGACGTGGAGGCCGCCGACGCCCTCGAGCAAGGGGGCGCAGGCCCAGGCCGGATGCAGGACGTTGAGCAGCAGCACGGCCGTGGCGATCATGGCGCTCTCAAAGGCGATGAAGAGGTCCTGGCGGCGCATGAGCGGCCCCGTCCAGCCGCCGGAGAGCTCGGCGACGCGGAAGACGCAGCGGATGAAGATGCAGACGAAGCTCAGGGCCAGGGCGGCGAGGAAGGCGCGGAAGAGGCGCGAGGCCCGCACGGCCGACAGCGTCGGGTCCTGGTCGAGGGCGGCGGCGGCGCCGAGGCGCCGGCTGCGGCGCAGTGTGTTGAGCGCCAGGTCGGCCGTCACGAGCATGAAGATGAGCATGGTCACGACTTGGAAGACGAGGCCGCCGAGCATGATGTTGTCGCCCGTCTCGGAGGACTCGTCGTTTGTCGAGGCGATGGAGGCCATGGCGCCGCCGAGGGCCTGGAGCACGAGGGAGATGACGTCGCACGGGATGAACTTGGAGGGACGTGCGTGTTAGCTGTGCGGACGCCGGCTGAGGAAGACGGGATGCGTCGGACGCGGGGAGACGCGGGGAGACGCGGGGCGAAGGACGGCTTACGATGCGGGTGTACCACTCGGGCTTGATGCGCGAGTTCTCGGCGCCGTAGGCGTAGACGATGCGGCGCAGACACAGGTAGATGCCGGCGGCCAGGAAGGCGGGGCCGATGGTGAGGCAGCAGATCTGGATGAGGAAGCCGTTCTCGTCCCAGCGGTTCTGCCAGCTCACGACGCGGCCGGCGTAGCCGAGAATCTCGCAGGCCACGCCGAGGATCATGGCGATGAAGAAGGAGAGGCCGCGGCGGGTGACGGCGTAGGTGGTGATGTAGGCGAGGGCCGAGAGGGAGAAGAGGGCCAGCATGGTCGCGTTGGCGCCGATGCTGAGGCGGTACTCGTAGTAGCTGTTCATGTCCTCGCATTCGAGGCTGTCACTGTTGTTGTAGCACCAGTCAAACCAGTCCCGGTCGGACCAGTTTTCGGAACCGGCGGGGGCGTTCATGATGAGAGAGTGGGAGACACGTATGGAAGAGACAAGGCAGCAGATGTGAGGATGAAGACGAAGTCAAGGGGGTTCTAGAGAAGAGCCGGTGGGAGTGAGGTGAGTTGTTGCTTGCAGACAGGAGGTCAGGGGAGGAGGACATGAACCAATATATGGGAAGTGCTACGATGAACCTGCCGATGATTCTAAGTGCTGCTCAATATGCTGCCGGGAGACGCACGTTGAAAATAACAGTAAGCCACGAACACCTCTGCGTACCTAGGAAGGAGTGTATAAACTCGGAACCGCAAGCAATCAGAGCAGAGACATCAGGCACCAACATCTGCAAAACAGCGGTACTGGGGGTGGCTGTGTCCTCCCGAGCGATGGATGACACAGCACGATAAACGCGAATCGAGAGGGCTTAGCATTCTTCGATGTGCGAGGAAAGGGACCCATGAAGGGACGAGACGCGAAATGCGATGGACCGTGAGCGGTCTCGGGATATGACGAGGAAGCAGGCAACCAACGAGAGCGCGGGTGTCAGCCTCCAACAACCCGTCACCGCTTCTTGTCGACGGGCGTTGAGGGCGTCAAGGGGGGGAAAAGATTGAAGAGAACAGGCCAATCTGTCATCCCGGCAGACGGCCGTGTCGTGTGTCGTGTGTCAGACGGAACCCTGCCAGCTCATCAACAGCCTGACATGGCTGAAGCTATCGCTTCCTCCGCCTGTCAAGTTCCTCGGGGACCGAGATGGAGATGAGAGACGAGAGGCGTCTTCGAACGTGGCTCAGACCGCCCGAGGAGTGAGCAAAAGGTGCGAGTGCGAGCGGTCCAGTCAGACGAGTGCCTCAGCGAACATGTCAGCAGGAGCTGGAGTTGGTACGACGTGGGCTTTCTGAGCACGTTCACCCACGGGTTTCATCTTCATGGGATCGCTGATCCTTCGCGAAGCTTAAACTTTCGGGCAAAGGTCACAGTAGCCGCCGAAGAAGAAAAGAAGCTTATTATGGATCAAGATTCTCTCCATGGTGGGCACGTTGCTGTGTACCGTCAGACGAGAGTGTGCTAGACGGGCGAGGCTTTGCAATGCAGACAGCTTGTCTCTAGAGAGACACGCAATGTATGATAATTGAACATCACACATGACGCTCTATATGGCTGCTTGCGGATAGATTCGCTGGTACGCCGTCGTTGTCCTGAATGAAGCGAGGTGAGCGAAGAGGCGAAAGGCCGAAGAAGCGAGAGCCGGCTTGGCGCTCACGTACACGTACACGTACATATCCAGGATCAGAACAATAAGCAGAGCACGGGCCACTGCTTGTCTATCCCAAATCAGGCGGCGACTGATGCAGAGCCTCCTCGCTTGCTTTTGTGCTCAGGTTGCGACTTTGACAACACACTCGAGGTTTACCCAGACTTCTGGGCTCCATGTCGGCTCAAGATCGATGTCGACACTATTGCGATGAAATAAATTACGTCTTTATTGTGTGCTCCTGTCCTTGGGGATCTGCGCTGTATGCGCTATACTGAAGAAAAAAGAAAACCTACTGTCCAAGTCAACGAGTGCTCTCACGTCTTCTTCTTCTTCCTCCTCGCCTCTGACACGGGGCTGGCGTTGATGACGCCCTTGGTATCGATGCCTCCCGTTGTCACCAGCCCAGAGACGCCCGGTGCCTTCCCCGTGCCAATGTTGATTCCACGCCCGCCCTCGAAACTCAGCGCGCTGCCGCCGCTGCCCCGACGGACGCCGATGCCCTTGAGCTTCGTCGCCGGCGACTCCTTGACCTCCTGCGCCCCGTCCAGCCTTTGCTGATCAGCCGTCGAGGGCCGCGAGTCCGCGCCATCGTCGGGCGATGCCGGCCTGTGCTCGACAGCCTGGTGCTGGTACGCTGTGCGCGCGCGCGTCGTATTCTGCGGCGACGGGATGCCCGACGGCCGGCCTCGCGACCTCTGTTGCACGGGCGTCGTGGGCGTCACGGGCCGGGTGCCATTCCGGCCATTTTCTACCACCAGCGTCGACAGGTCGCTCGTCGAGGCGTCGCTTGCGCGGGAGGCGTGACCGTGGTACGCAGCACCCGACTCGATGAGGCTCTCCTCCCGCGCCATCTGATACTTGGCAAACTCCTCCGCCGAGTGCTGCGGGTCTGTAAAGTTGTCGAGCGCATCGAACACGTGCGGAAACACCCGATGGTTGACGTCGCGCCCCCACAAAAAGTCGAGGTGCTCGTAGTGCGGGATCTCCGTCGCCACCGTCTGCGAGGGCAGCTCGCGCAGCATCACCTTGATGTCGACCAGCGAGTCGCTGCCGCCGTAGACGAGCACGATTGGCGTCTTGATGTTGCGCGTCGGGTACTTGGCCACCTTGGTGTACTTGCTCGACGTGTTCAGCGACATGTGCTGCTGGACGTCGTCGTCGTACATCTGGAAGGACTTGTTGCGGATGATCTGGAACCAGTGCACCACGCTCTTGGTGCTGGTGAACGAATACAGGTGCGGGTAGGCGGCCAACTTTTGGCTGACGGTAATGTTCTTGGTCCGCCAGTTGAAGAGAAACGTCAGCCCGTAGTCGATGAGCTTGACGAAGATGGGCGGGTACAGAATCGACTGCCACATGGTGGCCGAGCTGAGGATCGACCGGCGACCGAACAGCAGGAAGAGGACCTGGGGCGACGCCTTGACCAGTGCGTCCACGATACCGTTCGACAGGCCGGCAGGCGACATGGCGGGCGCCAGCGCGATGAAGACGTTGACCTGGTCGTTCAGCTTGGGGTGGATGGCCAGTGTCGCGAAAGCTTGCGCCGTGCCCTGGGAGAAGCCGATGTATGACAGGCTCTTTTGGCTCGTGGTGTCGAGAATGTACGAAATGCTGTCGGGGATGTCGTGGAAGGCAAACTCGTCGATGGAAAAGTTCCAGAACTCGAGGGATGTTGGCGAGTGCTTGACCGACTTCTTCGAGTACTTGTTGCCGCGGTTGTTCCCAAGCTGTGGCGTGTCAACGTCGCTGTACATTTAGGCCAGACTTGGTAGCACGAGACTCACCCAGACATCGTAGCCCCGCTCGACGAGGACAAAGGGAAGGCAGCGCTCGGCGTGCGTCAGACAGACCCAGACTTCCGAGTTCATGAGCAGTCCATGGTGCAGATAGACCACCTTCTTTCGCAAACTGTTGGGTCCATTGTTGACCTTCTTGCCCTCCTCGCCCTTCTTCCAGGCCAATCGGTGCAGGCCGAGCAAGAATCCGTCCTTCGTCTGGGTGACATGTTCTTCTGCTTCGTATCCGTAGAGGCGGCACAGGTCGACAAAATCAGAGGCATCGCGAACAGAGGTCGCGATGGCTAGGTACTTGGTTAGCGACGATCCCAGGTGCGGCGAAAGCGACGGGCGCGTGCGTCATGCGTCATGCGTCATGCGTACAATTATGTTTTTGCTCGGCCCTTTTCTGCGCAGGCGTCGCCCACCTATTGAAGAGACGACGTGATGCGCGGTAGAAGAGCGTGATGAGAGAGGATGCTGGCGCGAGGTCGTGTCAGTGGAGGGCGAGGTGGCGGGCGTTGACGAGGACGTACGGAGTGCGAGGGTGAGGATGCGAATGACGGCCTCGAAGCCGACGAGAAGGAACGACCCTACAAGAGCGGCATATTCGATGCTTTGCCACGAGAATCGTCAGTGGGATGGGAGGGCGACATATGGGGGGATTGGATCATCTGTCTCTCACATGTTCAATCGCCCGATGAATGGGATGGGCATTTTGACGACGGTAACGATCCGAAAGAGAAAAGAGGCAAGAAAGGGGGGGAGAGAGAAGCAAGAGTCAAGGTTGTGTGTCCCGTGGACGGTGATGTTTGGGCTGGATAGTATATCAAGTCATTATCGAAGACTCGGCGACCGTCAAGGGCGGAGGAAACGAAGGAAACGAATTGGAGGAAAGGCGACGTTGGGGACCGAGTGCATAAGCGTCGTTGAGGTCGGCGGCGGGCGCAGCTGCAGTGCAGGCAAGTGTGGGTGATGTCACATGTGAAGATCCGGGCTTGATCTAGCTCCAAGCTCCCAAGCTTCCAAGCTTCCAAGCCTCCCAAGCCGTGAATGATAATGACATGGCAGGTCTGTGGAGCTCGCGTGGTCTTGGTGTGAGGAACCCTGATCCCAGCATGACCAAACCCAATCAATCAAATGGGAGTCCATTACACCTATCACCTTGCTTTATCACCTTGCTTCCATGGTATAGCAGCACCAGGAAGCATCACGACTCTGTGGAACATCTTCGGCTGGGCCATGGGCTGCGACACACTGATACACAGAATAAAGGCCATGAGCACACCCAGAAAGACCCTCTCCAGTATCCACTGGAAGCACTGCTCCAGGCCGCGACTGGAAGTACCGTTGAGCCCCGAAAGTCTGGTGCACTCACCAAGAGCACGTGACGATAAGATAAGATGTCGGAATTCAAGTTCACTCGTCGCAGAGGTCCTCGTCGCAGAGGTCCTCGTCGCAGAGGTCCTCGTCGCATCGCATTGCATCCAAAAGTCGGTCCACCTTTCAGTCGTCCAGTCCGTCCCAACCCGCGTCTCCCGCGTCGCAGAGCCTCGAAACCCGCAGCCATGCCCAGCTCGTGCAAAGAACTCCGTACGTTCCGCCCAAGTTCTCCACGCCGTCCGTCCGTCCGTTCGTCGTCTCTTTTGCTAACCCGCTCGTCCCAGGCGAGGCCCTCGCCCAGTGCCTCCAGGAATCCGACTGCGTCATGGTCCAGCGCAACACGGCCGCCGACTGCCTCCGCCCGCCCCTCGTCCACGAGCTGCCGACCAAGTGCCAGCAGCTCAAGAAGGGCTTTGGCGAGTGCAAGCGCGGCATGGTCGACATGCGCAAGCGCTTCCGCGGCAACATGCCCGTCGCCTACAAGACCATGGCCGACGCCGAGGACGGCAAGGGCTACCAGCTGTACGCCGGCCGGCCTGCCTTTGCCGGCGGCCGCGGCCAGACGGACGGCAACGAGCCGGCGCCCAAGGACTGGAGGGAGGTTGAGAACGAAGAGTACAGGAGGCAGCAGCTCGCTGAGCAGCTCAAATCTGGGAGGTAGCATGGCAGCAGCAGCAGAAGCAGCACGGATGTACGATTACGGGTGGTTCCTTAGGGCATGGAGGGGAAGACAGGCGTCAAGGGCATTGGCTTTCGAATTACTGCAATGAAGGCTCGCGCGTCGTCAACACCGCTCACAGCGGCCGAGATCTGGCCTATACCAGTTGTACTTTTCTACTCATACGATCACAAACGGTTGGATGCCCGACGACCAAGTATCTCACCGTGTGTGTCATATCCATCAGTACAGGGTGTGTCAGATTGAGTTGTCCATGTTTTTCTTCTTTTTTTTTCAAACGTCTCATTGAAATTCATTGATTATTCTGGCTCGCTACTTGCAGCCGCCTCATCCGCTGGCTGTCTCAGCTATTCTGGACGTTGGGCTTGGGCACGTGCATGCCGACGAAGTCGACGCTTCGCGCGCCGATGCGCCATCTTACGAGGCCTCTCAGGCCTTTCTTTGTTGTTTCGCTTCCTCATACACCTCGTCTCCAATCACCGCAAGAAAAAGAAGTGCAAGAAATTATGGGTATCTAATGAAGAACTTGGTCCTGTACCAGTCGGGGTATCATGGAAGACGCAAAGATCTCAGAAGAAAGATACGGTCAAGGTCAGGCGCGAACGCCTCGGAAACCCCAACGGGGGCCGATACTCGGGCGCATGGAAAGGCCCTCACAACTATCGTTGCGCGCAAGGCAACAATGTACACGTCTAGCAGGCTTTGCCGTCCTGTGGTCATTAGATCAGAACATCGCCCAGGGTAAGGATCCGAGATGGATCGCCCGTGAAGCGGTTGTGGTAGTCCACAATCCCTTGCGCGATGCTAGGGAAGTCCTTGATGTTGCGCTGTCTCATGTCTTGCAAGAGCTCTCGCAAGCCGTTATTGTACTGAACCCTCATGGGTCCGTCAATGTTTGTGCCGCCGAGCTGGAGAAGGATCTGGTCATCTAAAGAGGCGAAGAAAGGGCACGTCAGCGTCCTCGAAAGAGGGGAACAGATAGCTAGAGCTGGTCAGACGGTTCGGAGGGGACGTGGCTTACCAGGCAGTTTCATGGACTCGAAATGCTGGTACTCGCATTCCGATCCCTTGGGGCACCTCCGACCATCTAGTTGATCTGGACACACTGGAAGATTGGGGTCGATCTTATTGCTGTATGTAAGCGATCGCAAGCCCCCAGCAACCATTTTCTGGAAGTCAGGATGGTAACGGTAGTTGCGGAACAACTGGAAGGGACTCTCGTAGGGACTAAAGCCTTTCTCGCTTGAGCTGCGACCGTCCTGGTGAGAAGGGCGTGGCTATCGAACAGTTAGTCTCTTGAGTCCACCAATGTTTGGAAACCGACTTGTACTTCTCTTGCGTTGTTGTTAAGACCTTCATCCGGATGGGACTCATCAATGCCAACAGATATCTGAACCGGCTGGGCGGAGCCATCGCCCGTGGGGGATTGTGAGCCGGTCCTTGGGTCTGTAAGTGGCAGCACGTCGTCATCGTCAATCACGGCTACCGTATCTTCTGATTCACCTGAAGGTGAGTCAACCTGCATGTCAGTTTCCTCATTGTCACTTTGGTTGCCTTGGCCTGTTCCAGGTGAGCCAGCCGTAGACAAGGCCGCTGCTGGAGACGGATGGCCGGAACGATCTGCTACATTGCTAGCATGGCTGTTACCCGTCACGGGTACAGGCGATGCACCACTTGACACTCCTGTGTCGGGGCTCGACTTCTTGGAAGTTTCTGCAGCAATCTCAAGTGCAGGCGTGTGCTGGGCATCGATAGCCGGATCAGTCTGACCACCTGCAAGACTCTCCGAGGCCGAGGGCGCGACTGGCTCGACAGTCTTCTCAGCATCGTCGTTTCGCACCGAAGAGGGGAGTTCCACGCCTCCGTCGGTATCTTCTTTGTCTGCGCTCTTATCGGCAATTGTCGAAGTAGGTTGCAGGGCAGTCTCAGCATCATCAACAATCGACTCTTGGGCTGTCCCCCTGCGCGCCCCATTCGGTGAGGAAGGGGGTTCATCTTCGCCTGCGTGGCATTAGTACGACATGGATAAAAAAACTACTGGAATACACGCTGCTCGACTTACTCGATGCTACAAGATCTTGTAGCCCGTCGAGTTCATCCTCGGCGGAGCGCTTCTCAGCGTCCTCCTGCTCAATCTCCTTCTCCAGGCGTGCCATTTGTGACTGCAGCAGTCGAAGTTTGGATTTTTTGGCTTGCAGTCTTGACTGCATGCCTGGCAAGCTTTGACTCAGGACGCGTACGCGCTGCAAGCGATCTGAACCAGACCTGGCGATATCACGATTCTTGGGGAGCTTGATCGAGCCCGTTTCTGGCGCAACGGGGGATGAACGATTTGTGTTGCTGCCCACACTAAGCGACGGGTCCAGGGACTGCACGCGACGAAGAAAAGGCGTCGCCGTATCCGAATCTGCTGCCGCGTCCGGGATGCGGCCGCCCGATTTTGGCAGGGCAGGTTGTCCATTGCTCCCACTCAGGGCAGACTTGAGCTTCTTACGCGCTTCGGCGAGTGCGATTTTGCGCTTCATAGCCTCGATCTGCTTGTCCATAACTGCCAGATGACCGGGGGGCGTAGCAACGCGGGCAGGGCCAGTATCGGAGAATTGTCGCTGGCCTGCAGGCTCTGACAGAGGTGGGACATCACGGAATGAAGTAGTCCTCCGGAAAGGATGGTCAGAGGTCTGCACATTCGTATTTGACTCGTCGCCAGAGCCAATTTCCATCTCCACGTCGTCATCTGACCCTTCACTAACGTCAATCACAAGTTTGCTCTTGCGCGACGGGCCGAGAGGGCGCGTATGGATGTTTGCTTGGGCATAGTCATCAAAGTCGGTTGCGACAGGTCGTTTTCGCTGATTGCTGGGTGATTGTGCGTGCTGAGAAGTAGACGGCATGAAGAGGCCGGGAATGACAGACCGCGCAGAATCGGTGACGGGGATATCCACCTTGGCAGGCAAGGGGTGAGTGGGGGTTGATGTGACGGACAACGACGGCGGTGGGATCGAGGGCAAGTCGTTCGTGGTCGAAGAAGGGGCTGGTTGAGCTGCTTCAGAGCCCTTCCGAGAGGCTGCCTTCTGGGCACGGGCTTCGCGAGACTTTTGCAAGGCCACCATCTTTTGTTGTAGGTTCAACTGCTTTTCGTTGCTGTTCTCGGCTCCAGCTGTTCCTGTCGACACAGCGGCTGTGGTTGTTCCAGACAACGCTTGCTTTGCGGCAAGAAGTCGGGCAATCCGGTCTTTCCGTTCCTCTGCCTTGCCTGTGGCAGCCACGACTGGTTCGTTGGCCGAGCTGCTGGCCGGGGCCCATGGCTGTGCAACATGCGGGACGTTGCTTTGAGGCATGACCGGACG